TTGTTTTCGGCGAAAAATTCACACGGCGACATTGGAATCGACGAGCGTCGTCATCGATGAAAAAAGATTCGACGCAACTGATAATTACAAACCACATGTACGCAAAATAATACGATGTTTTTTCAGCAGACTCATTCTAGAAAGAATTACGAAACTTCAAGCCACACATGTAAAAAGACTCAAATCAAAACAACGTTTATTTATTTTTACGAAAAACGCGGAAAACATGCATACTCTGCTCTTAGTTATTTTCATCGGCATACTTTTTTTACCGTCCAGTTTATCATTCTTCATTGGGTCACCGTCTACAATCCTAAACTATCCTAGACGAAATTTAACATGCTCTCAAAGACAAGATACGTTGTACAATAATACAATAACTTTTGACAATGGTGAAGATCTAGAATGGGGCGACTATTGTGTTGTTGCGGTTGTCACTTCACTTCTTAACAATTTAACTCAAATTGTCACGTCTCGAACGGTTATATATCACTGGAACATGTATCGTAATGTTGCTATCCATCAATGCGGCTTTTCAATAACGATGGACATTGGCTATGGAAACTGCATTCCATACTATTATCAGTCGGCAACTTCGATACAACTATGTATCTGTTCCACAAATTACTGTACTACTACCTATGCAACTTGTCAAACATCGGTCGATCAGACACATTCTTCGCCTCCACCATTGCTGCCTGTTCTTCAACCAACGTTGTCAAACATAATAACATGTCAAGATATGTATGTCAATTATTCTGCTACATACAATATCACACCCCCTATGTATGTAGCTTGTGAGTATCTTTACTCTCTAATTACTTTTGGTGAATCGGATTTGTCAAAATGTTTTACCTATACTCCTAATCACACTATCATATGTGGTGTTTTCTACAATTCAAGAGATGGCAGTCAGCAACAAATGGCCATGATTGAAGGTGATTATGAACCATTGATGTATGGTTTGATTATAGAAGGGGCGATTGCGATGGTTAACAGCAGTTCGGGTTATTACCTGTATCAAACTTCCACGAGTGTTGCAATAGTGGGGATTGATTACTCTCAAAATTGGGCATTTTGCTTTTGTACAATAAATAATTGTAATGTTGATTTTGCGACTTGCACAAAAGATATGAACATACCTTCCTATCTCTTAACGTACAATGGATCAGCGGCATCAACGTCAAATGTACCTACAATAAGCAGCTCAATGGGTACTCTTCTGTCGTCTGGCTCAACAACAACAGTTACAACAAGGACATCGGCAAGTAGTGCTTCGACTTCCATCATCACAAGCTTACCATCATCACCAAAAACATTCCTAACATCTTCAACTACATCTGCTGATATTAGTGTCAGGAATGGCACTACTTTGCCTACTACTATAGAATCAAGCTCTTTGGGTGAGAAATCATATTATTCTAGTTTCCAAGAACTGTTTTATTCGAGTGTGCGGGTGTAGATTTTTTGCTCACTCGAATGTGCAACTCATAGACGTCTCAGACACTAAACTCTCACCCTCTGATCTACATGATATCGTGCTGTGTTTGTAATATCACCAGAATAATATGTTGCTTTTATTTCTATGAGATCCATTTATTAATTAATAGCCTTACAGAAAATAAAATGCTGAGTGTTTTCAAAGAATGTCCAGTTCCAAATTACTAAACCTAGAGAAGACATGAAGAAGATTAGGAGACTGTCATTCGTTCAGAGTCACTGTTAAAATCCGCAGACCCAAAACTAAGAGAAATGAACTTTTTCGAAAAGCGGATTCATAGAAGCAAATTCTAGCTGATAATATATGTGGATATACAAGTGTGATGCGACCATACATGCAGATTCACATCGCCATAATGATTCGCACTTATCGAAATCTGCATTCACGCTTTCATTGACTGGAATTTCAATATTAACAAACTCATTAGATGTTTAGATGGATAGCGTGAATCTCTGAGTGTTTGGCTAATATGTATATTAATAGCTTGAGCATTGCTCAACCGAAGATATGTACGAGGCAGGGGCGACACGAAGGGGTCGAAGCATGAGAAGATAGCGATCCGAAATTCGGAGAAAGAGTCAAAAATATTTCTTTTGTTATCCCTGCATTCTTTTTGAAGCAGCTAGCCTTGCCCGTGTTCTTTGAAGTGTCCTTGTCATGCTTCATTCATTAGTGCTCACGCAGAACAATGCTCATTTTAATGCGTAAAACTCGTTAAAAGGTGTATCTTTTTCGCTTAAAAACAATTTCTATTTTTGAAAAAAAAAGGAATTTTATGAGCTCCATCATCTTCAAACCTGCCGCTTTTTCGAAAAAAAGCATTTTTCTGAAGTCGTAAAAAGTGCACATTTTTATCCGCAAGAGCACATTTTTTTCAACGATTTTGTCTGGCTGGATTTGTAGAGAATGTGAGTTTATACGAGGTGAATAAATTTCGTTAAGAGTAAGAGCAAGGGTCATCAATTTGGATACAGCTAAAAACAAGTTTAATCAAAGTCATAGGGAAATGTTACAAAAGACTTATCGCAACTCGTCGTCGTGATGAATTAATAGATGATCGACTTCAGATATTGTTACTATGCTTCTCAGCAAACTCTACAAATTACAGTTCGGGAAAAGCAAAAATAAAAAGATATATTTAGCGTACTCTACAAATTGCAGTCGGTTAAAACTAAAACTGAATATAAAAACTTTGTCAAAATTGATACGTCAGCTAATTATCAAGGTTTTAAAAGCAAAATTACAAATGCGCTTATTTTGAAATTAGTCTAAATTATATAAATGATTGAAATTAAGTTGAACAGTTTTTGATTTTCGATCTGTGTTCGCAAATGAGAAGTTGTGAAAAAACCTGAGTTTTTTAAGAATTTTATTTTTTGTTCAATTATTGATATATCTATTTTTATTCATGAAATAAGATTAGAAAAACGTAAATACACAAAATTGGAGACAGTATTCCAACAGCATTCTCTAACTTGAATTTTCTGCGAATTCAGAGACAACTACCTAATACATTTCTCCAAAATCGGAGAAAACTGGTTGGTGACTTTCTCAGAATTGGAGAAAATTGACCTACCAAAATTTTCATACTCGCAGAAAGCTGTAGTCAAAATTTTCCGGAGCAGCAGGGATGATACCGTAATCCTTCCGGTCGCACTGCGCCTGATACAAGCCTCATTATATGATTTTCTGAAGCTATTAGAGCGCAGGAAAATATATCAGCACGTAAAAACTGACCCGTGCGAGATAGCAACTTATGTTTTAATTCATATAGAAGCGAATTTAAACCCATCGAGTAGTTTGGGTGTGGATGGGGTGTGGTGTCAGTTTTCTTTTCATCCACACCCACATCCCACATCCCACATCCACATCCACACCCCAAAAATAGCAGATTCGGAATGAATGCGAAAAAGTTTTTCGCATTCATTCCGAATCTGCCTTTTTTATCGCAAAACGACCAAGTTTCTATGAAGAAAATCTGGAATTACTGACAGAATTTCATGTTTTTGGCGTTCTGAACCAGAGTTGAACAGTGTTCTCTTCCAATATAGTAATATTTCGAAAAATAAAAGTTATACTTTTCAAGCCCAATGACTGACGGTTCTGATAGTATATGAAACTTAACTATATCTTGATATGGAAAAAAACTAGAAAGCTTTTCAAAACATTCTATGATATAGCTGTTTTGACGTTTTTCGCACTAGTAGGCTCCATACATTTAACATGCATTTTTTTGCTAAGGCCTATTAAAAATAGGTCCAAGCGACGCAGTTTTTCACGAGAAATCCGAATATACAATTTTTATTAATATGACATACTGAAAAGTTTTTAAATTGTGAAAAAACATTGAAAATTTAGTGTTTTCTTTGGAAAATCGGACCATTCAACACTATCGAAAACATTCATATCTTTTTAACGAAAACATTGAAAAAATATTAAAATACGCATATTCTTTCTCCACTTGACGAGTTCTATCTAACAATGTATAGTAAACGAAAAACAAAATTTTGTTTTAATTTTGCATTATTCGCACCTTAAATCGAATTCACTGGGATCGATCTGGCAGAAGGAAACATCAGCAAGCCATTCTCGCAAGTACCGATTTTCGTAGCGTCTTATTCCTGGCCTTTTTTTATTGCAAAAGCCACGCAAAGAGGTCAGAAAAGTAGCATGATGATGGTTATTTGATACACCAGTAGATGCGCCTGGATTCGCTCTTTGCACAGGTGCAAATCTTAGCTTTTTATCTGATTCCGATCAAAAGTTTTCTAATAAGAATTGAACAGTTTATCTCACAAATGGTCGACAGAATCAGAAGTGTCACTCTTTCTCCTCAAGAAAACTAAATGTCCTCATCGTGTTTGCACATGGTTAGAGACAGTTTTTGATGAGCTAGCTCTTCGTATCATCAATTTTTTGGGAGCTTTAGATTGAATGACGTGCCGCCCAAAATACGCTTGAGAAGTGCAAAAACCTCGACTTTATTTCTTTGAAAAAAAGTTTTATGGAATTTTTTCACATGAAAATGCATGTTGGAAGACGAGAGAAACACTGTTCGGTACAGAAAAAGATGCTTTATTTTTCAATCTAATTCGTTCGAATGGTAATACTTGCAAAAACATAATGACAGGCATCGATTTCATGACAACATCAAATAACTGGTTTTGCATTATCCTAGGAACTTCATCATCGTGACGAACCTCATAGTTCAGAAAAGAACTACCACATCGAATTGATATTTTGGGTTTTACACTAACTATAGGATGTGGCTCAGTCTTCTATCCTTTCATGTCCATATCCGCACTCACACCCACACCCACACCCACACCGCAATAAGTTATTTTCTCTCGACTCAAAACGATGTCAGACTTTCAACTGATTATTTTTCGCATATGTGTAGAAATGATCTTTTATTACTCTTCTTGCTTTGTCTTATTATCCAGGTTCAACATGCACACCATTTTGGAGAACGCCTTCATCTGACCAAACTACTTATTTCATGTATCGGAATGCGAATACGCGTATTAGTGGCGACAGTAGTCGTAGTGTTTGTGCATTTTTTCGCGTCAGTAGCTCAAATGTCGACAATATCATCGTAGATATCGGCTCAGCCAAGACAACATCGGTTGGGGGATGTAATAGACACTTTGCATTAGGAGTTGCTGATGCAACATATATTAATGTATTTGGACTGTGCGACATGTTTGATAATAATTACATTTTCGTTGGACCAGACACATTATACGACGGTAATTTTCATCAAATATGCATAACGTACAATTCTACGAATGCAAAATTATGTGTTTATCGAGATGCTCAAGAACCAATATGTATTACTCGGAATAACGGGCCTTACAATACTTCTCTAGGTAATGTGCGAATTGGTTGGTGGCCAGATGATAACCGCCAATTTGTAGCGTTAGGAGGTGGATTAATTCGATCGGTATCGTTATTTGACAGTGAAATTTCACAGGATTGTGTCATTCAAGAATTCAATAGAGCATTAGCAATGAATACGACAACAAACACGACAGTTTGGTCAAACACCACTGAATCTAACACTTGCAACTACCATGGAAGGTGGCACATGGGAGAATGTGTTTGCGAAGTCAAATTTGATGGTCAAAATTGTTCTATGTGCGATCTAGGATATTTTAACTATCCCAATTGTTATCAGTGCAGTGATTGTGAATCTCACAACGGAACCTGTAATTATGAAAATGACACTTGTATTTGTGAAGATTACACCCGTTTCACGGGTCTATTCTGTGCAGAGTGTCAGCCTGGCTATTATGGGTCACAATGCACAAATAGTACACAGTTATTATTTCTACAACCTACAAACGTGAGTGATGTTTCAGCACGAGATGGCATCGATATTATATTGATTGGTGCTTACTTCTACTTTTCTTCACTAACTAATGTTTTATGTCTGTTTCAATCATCCGTAACGTGGGCTGTTGTAGCAAATAGTGCAAATGTTTCAACGGTAGTCTGTGCCCTATCGAATTACACAGAATATGAAGATGTCTACGTCTCACTCTCACTCGATAATGGTACTACATGGGTTAACAAATCATACAATTCGTGGAACTATTCTGTTTCGATCCATATCAGCTGTCCAACCAATGGTTCATGCCTTCGTGGGAAATGCCGTATGGGTAGTTGTGAATGCCCGACAGGTTATACTGGATACCTCTGTGATCAATGTGACATTGGTTATTTCTTTATTATTTCAACTGTGTATAGCTGGCTTCGTGAATGTGCACCGTGCTCATTGTATTGTCAAAATAATGGAACTTGTGCCAATTCAACATGTATTTGTCGACATGGTTTTACCGATCAAATGTGTGATAAATGTCAAGAAAATCGATTTGGATCGCTCTGTTTACCATATCCAATAATTCAGTCAATCGATCCACCCTCCATCAATGACATTGGTGGCATAAATTTAACCCTTTATGGCTTAAATTTTAATTCAAGTGAATACATAGGTCCCCGATCTTGCAAGTTCTTTTCTGACACACATGGCATAAATGCATCAATCACTGAAGCGATAATTGTGAACGACTCATTATTGATTTGTTCAACACCTCTCAATCTACTTAATTCTACCATTCGATGGTTTCTTCGATTACTGATAGATGGAGACGAGCAATATTATTCAACATTTAGCCTTCAGGTTTGATTCTTTTCTTTCTGGCATTTGTCCTCGTCATCACTCTTATATTTAGTACAGAGAAAAGGAGAATGTAATTTCCTGAATCGAAAGAAGAACCCTATGAAACTAAGTAAGCTTATGTCAAAAATAAAAGATCACAAATAAATTGACAGACAGGAGCTTTAGCCGATCTAGTGTTGAGAGGCTAGTGTTTTAGCCAATCAAAGTATGTGGAGTAACATACCAAAGTTAGTCCTTTACAATTGTGAGTAGCAATTTGGAAATAGTTTTGGATTGCTTGTTCTGACTTTCCATGTTTTGTGAGTATGAACAATAATTTTTCTATGCATCCATCCTGACCTACCACGGTGTGGGTGTTAATGCTGCTCAGAATTATTGTTTCACCCAACCCCACACTCACACCCCAGATACCCGCACCCACACCCTGACCACTTCATCGCACATTTTAATAGATGAATGTTTAGTTCATAATATCTGTAACGTTTTTCTGTAGAATGTTTCGATCAAACAAATCCTTTAAACATTTTAAAACTTTCAAGACATTTGAAATGATATTGGTTGTTTATATTTTAGATTTACAGAGCATGCCAGAATTTCACAAATTGCAGTGATCATGGATATTGTCAGTTCGGTCAATGTGTATGTACCTCTCCGTACTATGGACTGTCTTGCGAGCTAATGCCAGCCCCACTGATACTGAACCATTCACTGATCATTCATATCAATGAATCCAGTTCGATGGGAATAAATTTAACTTCATACATTATTTCTGGAACTCCACCATTTCGATACCTATTTCTAGATACTGGTGACACATATTCAGTTAATTTCTACTATAATTGTCTTTCCTTAGACGAATCATCTGGTTTATTGAGTATAACTAGCGCAGTAGCTTCGTTACGAAATTATACTTTTACTCTTTCGGTATCTAATAGTTTGGCAGCAACAAATGTGACGTTGATTATTGAAGTTCCACCTTCATATATTGCAACAGTATCTTGGAAAAAGTCTCATCAGTATCTTTCAGCTAGTACAAGTCAAGTGCTGGAATATTCTGGTAATTCAACCATGCCATATGTGCCAATATTGATTTGGATAGAAAATACTTCGTCTATTCAATTAAACTCTGATAGTCAAGGTCATTTTAGTGGATTCTATTTACTTTCAAGGCGTTCGTTTGGAGGTCAATTGCATATTGCGGCTTCACACCCAACTACAACTTCACCACCAGCATCGCAAGATATTATATTCATTGTCTACCTTCGACTTTCATTGTCTCAGTGGATTTATGGATTCCACGCAGGATATCCAACTAACTTTACTGACTTTGCTACTATTCGCAATGTGGGCGATTTCGACATGAATAATCTCACTATCAATTTGATACACAACACACCATGCATTCAAGAGTACTCGACGTGGCCACTATCCATATCTGTTCTACCAGCATTTTCAACTACAACACTCTCATTGTCGATGTTGCTCAATTGTTCACTGACATATGAATACATGAGCTTTTCTATAAATGAATCTCGATCATCTGCGTTAACGTCATCGGGTTTTATCATCACTAGTCAATGGAGCTGTCGAGCTCGAAATGACTGCAATAGTCATGGATCATGTATCGATAACGAAACATGTTCTTGCACGAATTTATACTCTGGTGACTCATGCCAACAATGTGCATCGAATCGATTCGCATATCCTACTTGTATCAATTGCCCTGTATGTGTGCGAGGCCAAGCCATATGCAACAATTCAGCTGCTTTCTGTGATTGCATTGATAAAACTCGTATCTACGGCCCATTGTGTCAATATTGTCAACAGGGCTATTATGGCGACAATTGTACGACTATTCCCATCGTTTTCTCATTATCACCTACATCAGGTTCTGAGCTGTCAAACAAAACACATGTCACACTCTATGGTGACAACTTTCAAAATGTCTCAGCATTCTGTTTAATCACGGATCAAAATGGAACGACGTCGATTCCAGCTACCTTCATTAGTTATACACAGATAACATGTATATTTCCCACTCATTCAGCAGAATTAGTTCGAGTGCAGCTACGACTGAATGACTCTATGGTTTCTGAGTTGACCAAATTCTCCTATCAATACTTGCCAAGTTGCTCACTAAATGGTTGCAATCCCGGATATTGTGTGCTGGACACTTGTCAATGTCAGTATCCGTATTTTGGTATAAACTGTTCTTTGTTTCCGATTCCACCCCTTCTGAGAACAATACCAGATGTGATTTTAATGGAAATGTCATTATTTAGTCTTAATATTTCTCAATACTTAACTCAAGGTGATTCTCCTCTTGATTGGTATCTCAGTGGAACTATAACTCCAGATCTTTCAATCGATCCGTACTCTGGATTATTGACGTGGTCATCCGCAGTTGCTTCATCCACACCTTATAATATAACAGTGAATGTTCATCAAAGTTCGACTGGTGTAATTGTTCAACAAAATTTTGTTATTAATGTGGGCCTAGGCTACAATGTTACTGTTCGATTTCAAAACTCACAGCGAATTCTGACAACAAAAACTATATTGCAAATCAACGGACAGATTGTCAATAACTCAATTGGTCTTAGCGATCGAATAGTGAAAGTATGGGTCCGTATAAATAATATTCAACGATATCTTCCTGCAATCACTGTTGTGGGACAATCAAATCAATTTACAACCTATTATACTCCACTGACAAAAGAATATGGAACACTCTTTGTTGGTGCTCAGCATCCGGCCGATCTATCGAACAATGAGCCTCAAGATTATCTCACATTACTGGGTTTGAATGTGCAAAGACTCAGTACCGATACATTGAATATCATAGCAAGTGAAAATTTCACGAACACATTTGCACCGGTCGCCCGACTTTCGAATCCATGCGACTATCCTATTGAAAATTTGACTTTCTCACTAGTCAGTCCTTTGGCAGCTGTGTCATTCTTCAATGTATCATCATCGAACTGTAATGTAACCCGCATTCCCCCTTTGACTACTTGTTCCATCGAGCTCAGCATTCGTTTCAATGTCAGTGGTTCTGGTAATCTCGTATTCGCATGGACTGCTAATGATATACAGCCAGTGACTCTTTCACTTCCAATTAATGTAATGTTTGAAGGAGCTGAATTCAAGTTAAATCCATCATCGTCAAGTTTTATTGTTCCTCGCGAATCTCAAGAAACATTAGTTATCTCCATATACAACACGGGATCTCGTCGTCTTGGACCTTTAACAGTTCTCCTGCCCAATCAAACATATATCTCTGTACTAACCTCGGATATTTCTACATTGATTGAATCGGCGAATGACAGTTTCACTTTAGGAATTCAAATTCCCGAATCTGCACCATTGAGTACATTTACTATTCGAGGCTATATTGTTGATCGCATCAATTCTCTTTCTCGACCATTTCAAATTCAGCTTACTATTGTCGGAAATAATGATACCTTGTTCGATCTGAACATTTTATGTCGAGATGAATTTTCCTACTTCGGCAGTAATACAACTAATCTTGCTAATGTAACAATTACGATAACGAATAGTCAACTCAATATCAAACATTTTCTTCGAAGTGATGAAACAGGACAAGTATCAGTATCACTTGTGGCTGGTACCTACGAAATAACAGCTCAAGCTTTAAAACACTCAAGTTATCGTGGTGTTATCAAAGTCGATCGAGCAACAGCAACATCTAATACGTTAGTTATCTTTCTTCAACGCATTCTTGTTTCATATGTATTCAAAGTCAGCAAAATCTCGATAGACCAAACGTATACCATAACTATGGATACTCAGTTTGTGACATACGTTCCAGCTCCTGTATTAGTGATTTCACCAGCTATGATATCTCTTGATGAATTGGAAGCGAATGAATACATTAAACAGATCGACTTTACTTTCACCAACTATGGTCTTATTCGACTTTCAGACATCGAATTGACATTACCTGATGAACATCCTTACCTAAGATTTAGTATTCGACAATTGCCAATTGGTAATATTGAAGCGAACTCTTCTATTATTGTTGCTGTCGATGTTTACCGTATTAATATGACTCGAAGAAAACGTGCTTCATGTATTACTTCAATTTTTGGATCGTTCATTGCTACCTACATTTGTGGCGAAAAACGTACAGTTGGAGCATCATTGCCAGCTTTTATCTGCAAATACTCTCCACCTATTAACATACCTAAGCCGAATCCTACTGGTAGTGTAAGTTGGAGTAGTGCTAGTAACAGTGTCATCGGTGGAGGTACTGGCGGTAGCGGTGGTGTCTTTGGTGGCACTGGCAGTATCAGTAGTGGCGGTGGTGCTGGCAGTGGTGATGCTAGCGGTGGTGGTGCTGGCGGAAGCAGCACTAGTGGCATTGGTACCGGCATTGGTGATGATGATAGTTATAGTGATAGCAGTGATGCTTTTAGTACTGATCTATCTCAGGCTATGGAAACTTTTGGGTCAGTAATAGAAACATTATTCAATCCAGTTTTGTCGAGTTCTACAACATGCGAGAGTTGTGTGGACACTTTCGTTGGAATTGCCGTTGACTTACTAAGAAAGATTCCGGGTGTTGGTTCTCTTATTAATAAACTCGATAAGTGTCGTAAGTATGAATTTACTTGATAAACTGCAGGGAAAGTAGTACTCATGGAGTGACTTTACCTTAAATCTTTTGTTTTAGTGGGTTTTATAATGAATACGGTGAAAAATACAATAGATTTGATTGATGGTACAGTTGAAGCTAGTATATGGAATATTATGAAAACTGTAGAAACTGCATTTCTTGATGGATTGGAATGTTTGCTAGCTGGAAATCCAGTATTAGATAAATTGTTGGCGATAATTTCAAAACATTCTCTCGAGACCAAAAGGAAACCGAATTGGATAAACTGCTTAGGATTATGGTTTATGCCAGGAGTGACCGAAAACAGTAGTTCATGGAACGAGAATGTGGATCCTGCTTTAGTACGACTCAATTTTGTTGTTGAAGCAATGACTACTTATCGAGAGATGATCAGTCTCATCTATGGCGATTCAATCTGGTTTGATAGAAACTGTGTTGATCAATCGTGGGAAGACGCGCTGACTACAGCGAAAGAAGTAACCAGTGATTTGAACTACTTCATTAGTGCTCAAGAATATAATGAACTCATACTACTTCCACACCGATGTGCAAATCAGAGTCTAGTAAGCGATCGTCTTCTCTATTACAATCGAACAATGTATTCGTATTCGGTGAATATAACTGAACCGAGTAGTTTAAATGGCACACCCTTCCTATTTATGAGTCTATCGGCATTTTTAAATCTGAGTTCTCAATACATGAGAGATTTGAATTATTGTCGATCACTAGGATATTCAAACCTGTTTCATGCGTATATTGATATCTTTCAGCAATACTACGATGCAAATAAAGATTCACCCGTGGGTATATGTGCGACAGTTACTATTCGCATTGTTCAGAATGTAACGATTGCTCGACAAGGATTTGCTGCTGAAATGACGATCGACAATAGTGGAGCAGATGCTTTGTACGATATTCAAATTACTTTAGATATTCAAACAGACAACCAATCGAATGCAAATGACAGATTTAGTATTGGTGAAACGATCGTTACCGATGATGCTTACAACGGAAGTTTGACAGTCGGAGGATCTGCACAATTCAACTGGTTAATCATTCCTTATCTGTCAGCTGCTCCGACGGCTTCCACTTGGTACAGTGTTGGTGGTCAACTTTCATATACAATTGCTGGACAACGTGTGAATATTACACTTCTTCCTGATCGCATTCTAGTTGATCCAGAAGCTCGTCTCGATATTGTCTATTTTCTTGAAGAACACTCTATAGGATTTGATCCATTATCTTCGGAATGGGTCGCTTCACAACCATTCATTCTTGCTGTTGTCATTACAAACAATGGTTATGGATCAGCGAACAATTTTCGAGTTTCCAGTGAACAACCAACCATTGTTGACAATGAAAAAGGTTTAGCAGTCAGGTATCGTATAATTGGAATGAAAATCAATAGAGAACAACAATCGAGCATTGAACTATCAGCAACACTTGGCGATTTACAACCGTTTTCTACATCAACTATTACATGGATTATGCTTTCTTCACTCAAAGGTTATTTTCGAACATTCAATGCTTCTTATCTAGAAACAAATCCTAATGGCGATCCCAAACTATCACTATTCAACTCTTTAACAACGCATCGATTGCAACACGTTGTTTCACTTGATATTCTAGTTGCACAATTGAATGATACTCAAATTGATTATCTTGTTAATGAATTGGATGGAACTGAAACTGCCTATAGTAGTACAAATGCTACGTTGTTCTTTCCTGTTGTTTCTGTTCAGGCTACTGTTCAGTATTATTCGATCGATCGTGACACACAACGACTCATTATTACTGTTAGCTCGAATCAAACGCTAAATTCATCTTTCATTCATCTTACTCTTGAAAATTCTTTCCCTAAATACTTTCTAATCTCATCGAAACGAATTGATGATGATCTAGATATTACTATAAACACATGGCTAACGCACAATGTGGATCATTTGCAATCAGGTGATCGAATTGAAGATCTTCTACATGTATTCGATATGACATCATTACCATCAACTCGTTCATATGAAATCATTCTCAGTTCAGCAACTATTACTTCAACTACAACCGCAATCACTAATTCGTTGTCAAGCATCCTATCGAGTGCATCCAATAGGCTAGAAACCAGTCAAATGTCAATCTCATCCTTACCAACAATGTCGACGCCGAATTCAGCGGTAACATCAATATTTGACAATACATTGATGACGAACCCAACGTTATCTACAATTTCAATGCAAACAACCGGTACTCAAATATTATCGACTACTACAGAAAGGATGTCTTCCACATCATCACAAAATTCAACTCCGAAACAGGAGACGACATTCTCTGCAATGACTAATCAACAAACGCCGGCATACACAAGCATTATGATAACCACGGAAACAACAGAGGCTTATTCAACATTCTCAAATCCAACTAAAATAAGTTCTCCATTATCTTCGATTCAAGTGATCACATCAACACTTGACAATGGCTCTGTCACATCATCTCAGTCTATGCCGAACTCATCCCCTATCCCAACATCAATAGAAGTTACAGCAACTCAAAGATCGACAACAATCGAAGATAATGCAACATTATCGTCTTCAACGTTTCGAAATTCAATTTCTACAGAACCGATCGAATCAACAAGAATGGAATATAGACTGCCATCTACAGCGAATTACACATTCACATACGAAATGTCATCTCTTTCAAGTGTTTTAACAACGTCGACATCACGTACTGAGCAGTCTATTCCTATCTCCAGTAATATCACACTATGGACAACTCAATCAACTGCAATATCAACCATGCTAGAATCGACAGTATCATCAACATCATATCAGTATTTATCTACAGAATCGATGTTGACAAATACTAAAACACAAATAACTTCGTCAATTACATCAATGCCGGCCATCACAACGAATGCATACATTCGATTTACATTGTCTTTTTCAATGAACGACGGAAATCAGACTAGAGTTCAACTTGTTTCGCAACTTCTTGCTATCTTTACATCGGCTCTTGGTATTCATTCGAATCAAATCAACATCACCGTGATCATACCATTGATTCGTACACTAGTAAATGTAGTAGCTCAAGTTCGTCTCTTTGATAGTGCAACAGAAAGTGCAGATTCTTTGCTTGCAAAAATACGTCAGCAATTGGCCGATCCATCTTCAGCTCTTAGGCGTGACCAATTGACATCTCAACTGACCAATGAATCAATATCGGATGTAAGAAGAATGTACAATTGTGGTGGCAGTACGGAACAAGAAACACCTTGTGGAGCACCTACAACAACGCACTCGACTTCGACAAGTTCACTAACAACAATTCTTCTAGCAACTATTATCCCTTCAGCTATAGGTGCAGTATTACTTGATGCGGTTATCGTCTTCATAGTAAGACGTTTACGACAGAGCTCTAGAAATTCGTTCTTCGCTGATCGATCATACCATGAATTGACAAGATTTTGATTTTCAACAAGCATCTTATCAACAATAATATGTTTTTAACTACTGTAGTATCAAGTACGAGAAATCTGGAACTATTTAATCTCTTTTGAATAAAAATTACACTTATTTGAAAAACTTTTTGAAAGTAAACAAGGCACGGTTAATGTAGCACAGAGTTGTAACCAGTAAGTCTTCACCAGTTTTTATTGATTGAAAGAGATCGTATAGATATGCTAATTTCTCTTATAAAATATATCGATAGTAAGTTTGAGTGCTCTTATGCAATGAATCAAACAATTCTATTTCAAAAACTATCCCTTTTATTTTCTTCTCTTCATCTACATTGTTTTATTTCTTTAATGAAAGTATATTTCATTTCCTAAAAAGTACTATCAAAGTTATGTTAGTTGAGATAAACTTCTCAAATTAGAGTGAAAAAAATTCCAACAATGATGATGAGATAATCTGACATGGCACGTGTGTGGGTGTGGGTGTGAGCGTGGGTGTCTGTCTCAGTGGTTGTGAGTGTGACGTATAATATTCTACATTAACACCCACCCACGCCCTCTTTTTTTTCTTATTCGATTCGACTCAACACTTTCGAGGCGTCGAATCGAATGGATTCGATTCGGCTAGGGCGAGTCGAATTGAGTCGAATTATTCGGTAATTCGATTCGATTTCGGTCTTTGATCTAGAACTTAGTATCGTATCTTAGCGAGTTAAATAAAATAAAGTTAAGTTACATAATGTTGGGTGTGGGGTGTGAGTGTTGGTGCTTCTAAGTACACTCACACCACACACCCGTCCATATCCAAATCAAAAATAATCTCGTATATCAAGTACAATTTTGATTAAAAATCATATTCAATCAAAAATAGATGAGGGTGTGGGTGTGGGTGTGAGTGGGTGTGGGTGAGGTGTGGGCAAGGGGGAAAAAGCGCGACTTCAGGAGTACATACTCCATTGGTACTCCATTGGTACTCCAATTGTACTCCAATTGTACTCCAATGGTACTCCAATTGTACTCCAATGGTACATTACTTATACTTCACAGTATTTAGTTGGGATGTTGAAATATTTCAGTTGCATTTCACCGTTACTTGAACAGTAGCTTACGTTCACTATGTTTTAATACCAAACGAGAAATGAAAAGCTTTTTGATTTCTACAATATCTTTGATATCCGTTGCTTCCATATGGTATCTGGTACTTTCAATCAGACTCACTGCTAGAAATACTCTTCGTACCAGTGGCAACGAATTCTACAAGATAATTAGGATTTATTTCCAATACTACTGACGCATCAAAATTTACTTTCGAGAATTGAAAATATATGCAGTTTTCATATATAAAACCCGTTAATGTGAAGTCGAGGTTGGTTATAACAATGTATGAATTTGGATAGTTGATTTTTTTTATATAAAGTTCCTATGTTAAAGATCTTGATTATACATGTTTTCAAGTTCATACTAAGCAGCAGAAGTTGTATAATAAAAAATTGAAAGGAGTCATTCAGTTGATTTGCATAGCTTTGAAAAAGTAGCTAAAATTAGAAAGCAGTGTACTTTCTTAACGAGAATCTCATTTTTCAAGCTTTTATTCAACAAATTATTGTTAGTAATTCAGCTTTTGGTAATCAATATCCACACTGCCAATATTTCAACCATTGTGTTCTCTATATGATATCCATTGGAGAAAAACGTTTTTGTATCGAAATTCTTAATAAAAAAAAAAGTTTGATTTTATAAAAGTTAACGATAAATCTAACCTCTGAGACTAGAAACAACATACATAGATGCCAGGAAAATGAGAAATAATATTAAAGATATAGTTATAGTTTTGTCTAATGTATTATATAGGAGCTATATTTATCCTTTATTTTTCTCTAAAAAAACATGTTCGTAGTTCGAAGGAATCTATAACACAAAAAATATCTACCAGTGAAGTCAAAAAAAACAACAAGTAATATACATAAAAAATATGATAATATATATATCATAGAAAAAAATCAATATTAATTTAAATTTCAAAAGAATTAGTAAATAATATGAGCTAAAAAATTATTTATATATGCATATATGTAATGTAAAAAAACGATTAACAAGCCTTTTTTAGTTGCACACGTTGAATACGATCACAGGATAATCGTTGTTGTTTATCTTGTAAATACCAAGTAGCTGCTGCTTTATGCAAATATAGTTTTTTCTCTTGTACATTAATTGGAAAATATTTATGTACGTTTGTGTTTGGAACTGATTTTTTTAATCTGAGTCCTAATATGAAAAAAAAAGCAAAAACTAGAATATTAAAATAAAGAATCAATATTTATTTAAAAATATGACAGAATGCATATTTCGTATTAATCACATAATATTATATGAACCTCTCGAGTAATTAAATCAATAGTAGCCAAAGACTATAATAGTTCTATGACCAATTTTTGTTTTCAGAAAATCTTTTCCTTATTATACAGAGTTGTATGTATGACAATGTTTCAATACGAAATACGCATGCATTGTCATAGATATTATGCATGTTACTCTTCCTTTACTGAAAAACACTCTAAAGCGCAAATTCCTGCATAGACACCTGAGAAAGACGTTGATCGTAAATTTTCAAAACTAACTGTTGGATTATCATCATCTTCGTAAATATCGCTATCATAAATAATATTATCTGATTCTTCATCTTCTTCAACATTATCATCTTCATTACTATCATCATCATCTTCGTCATCATAAAGTCCGTCAACGTCAAGTATTTCTGTTTCAGTTAGATTGCTTAATTGTAACAAGCGTTTAACCATTGATGATGATTGTTCTATGTTAAAGAGATTACTTTTAATCAAATTAACATTCATACCGACGAAAACTGTCATCTGTTGTGCTACTGTATACGCTTTAAGTATAATTTGCTCAAGTGCATCTGTATTAAAACTAATATTTCTCTTATTGTTATTATTGTTGCTATTATTATTGTTGTTGCTATTATTATTATTATTATTATTATTATTATTCAATTCTGTTTTAGAAAAAATTCTTTTAATTTTGTGGTGAACAGGAAAGAAAACTTTCTGATGATTATTTGTTGATTCAAATTGTTTCAATTCAGTAAGTATATTCAATTTATTTAAACGTTTTAAGAACTGTTTCGTGGTAAAGTTAATCCGTGTTGAGTAAACGCCGGATAATGCTCTCGCATTTCTAAAAACATTTTCACATTGTTGAGACGAAAATAAATGTGTAGATTCTGCTATACATTCGGGAAGAATTTTTTGTTCAATTAACATATACAAATAAGCTAAATAATGCGCATTTAATTCTAAACATATAAACGTATTGGAGGTGATAAAATATGCCGTTTCATCTGGTACAAGATTTTTCTTTTCAGCTGATGCTTTACGAGATGGCTTTGTAATGTATAACCACACTTTCCATAATCTAATATAAAATAAAACTATCCAAGCATAAAAAATTCTATCATGTAATGAGACATCACATTCTGTGTACGTGGTGATAAGTAAATTTATAAGCAATAAATAGTTATATGTGGCTTTGTATTTCTCATTTAAAGATAATAAATCTAAAACTTTCTCGCTAGAAATTTTACAACATGAAGAAAAATTTTGTTTGTCTCGCGGATTGAGATCAGATCTACATATGTTATGGTCGATTTTATTTGTGGTGTTAATAAGATCATACAAATGTTCTATAGATACTTCGTATGAACCCATTGTCAATACCGCAGTTCTAGATAATAAGCGGTTTCGCATTTTCGTACAAATATGAGTACCATCTTGAATAAAGATAAAAAGTTGAGTTGGATTTAGAAAAAAACCATGATAACCAACTAGAATTAATTTTAATTGTAAAAGGTAAATTATTATTATTATTATTATTATTATTATAAATATTTAACGTTTGAGTTTTAACGAAATAGTTTGCAGCTAGGCGCATCCCCCGTAAAAATTTAGGATCTCCATCTGTCGAGAATCCAAGCACATGGATACCTCTTGTTTTAAATTCTCTATAAATCATTAACCATCTTTTTAGTATATCAATAGCATTTAGTTTATTGTCTGTCCCATAGGCTGCTAAAACAATTGATGATGGTGTTGTAGTAAAACTTGAATCAGGAATAGGCTGTATTGAATGAATATTAATTAAATTAGCAAGTGGAATAGTTTCAATCATAGCTTTAAGTTTTTCAAATGATGTACATTGAAAAGCATTTTCATTTGGTATACCATTTACAAAGGGTGTAGTAAAACCATTAAAATTATCTAAATTTGAATCATATTCTACTCTAGGAATGATTGCAGAAGAATCCTCTGAGACAAAAATAAATTTACACTGAACTGTATTTAAATAAATTTTTGATTCATCAAATCTAAATTCAGCTTCTGAATAAGGTTTATGTGTCCAATTGTTTTGAACAGTTTGTATTGTTGGTAACAGAAATCTCAGATTAATACGAAGATATTCATATACATATTTTCCACCTAATATAGAAAGACATGTTGCGAATCTGAATATAGAATCATTATATCTGTAATTATTTGACGGTCGATGACTATTAATATCAATTGTTTCGAATAACGCACTAAGAAAATCTGAATTACTGATTTTATCATTTATAACCTGACTTGTACGAAAGATAAAATAGGTTAAATGTGTCTATATAGAAGCTATACTCACATTGTGTTCATGTCGTTTGTAATTTTTAGCAGATGAATTATTAATAAATTGTTTAGAACTATGAATTAATTTTCGTTTTTTTGTATCAGAAAAATTCTTGCTATTTTCATTCTATAATATAAACAATCAAGAAATGAACTCAGATTGCATTTTATATGACGCACCTGGCTTGGATTTGAAGCTTTAATCAATCGAATATCTGGTGGCAGACTTGATGTTCTTGGCACTTCACCAGTTACAAATTGCTGAAACAGAACATTTATTGTTGAATGTACGATGATTATAAACAGTTAAAGAAAAGAGCTATATCGTGACCAACAACAATCTCAAGTATTATAAGCAATATTCATCTAGATCGTTATTTCACACGCTGGAATCACATGTCTTAATATCAAAGTTCAAGTTGTTTTATGGCACGAAGAATGTAAGATTTATTATTTAAAATGGCATAAAAGAGTTATTCATACAAAAAAGAATGTTCTTGATTTCTACTCGCAAAACTATGTAACAAAAGCAACTAGTCATTTTCCTTTCTCAACATTCGCAACAAAATAGACCATTTTATAATCATTTTTGAAAAAATCAATCAACTTACTGTTAGTTAATATTATTCAATTCACAGTGAAAATATTCAACACAACGTTCTGAAACATTTTCAGGTATTATTCTCAGGTAATAATCCCTGCATACAGAA